TCTTATGCATGCGTAAGACTAAGCATTATTTGTTTTTATTGGTACCCAGAAAATTATTGGTGTTCATGTTATAATCTGTTTTAAGTGGAAAATGTTGTTTATCATGTTCTTGCGAGACATGAGTATTTTAAGTGTTGAACTGTGGAACCTTCTTTTTGAAACAGATTGTATTTACCAAACTGTATGCCAATCTAGTTTCTGTGATATATATCTTATTTTGGAATTGAACCCTGTTTTCAAAACTGTATTTACTATCCATGTTGCTACTCACTGAGCTATCAGCTGACTTAGTTGTTTACCATTTCCAGGTGTTAGAAGGACTTAGAGTCGACTCATGGCGTAGCGGGGACTCAATTGCATGGACCTCTAGGGCATTTATTTAATTTGTTTTAGGTTGCTTTGTCGAGTTTTGTGTATACATTGTGGTTGGGTTTTATTTAGAATTATTTTATTTTGTGGGCGGTTTGTGTACCATTTAGTATATATATATATTTTTAGGAAGTTGGTTAGGACTTGTTTTTCGCTTGTGGTATGCCACTGGATTGAGTGTTGATTTATTTATTTCTGGGCTATCATCACATTTATTCTTTATGGTTTTGGGTTCATGTTTAGGCTTACGTGTGCCTTGGGCTAAGTCCCTGTGGGCCACGGCCGGTCATGCCCAGATTTGGGGTGTGGCAACATGTCCAAAAAATGAAATTAATTATGTAATTTAATTGAAGAAAAAAGACAACCATTGTGATTGAAGGTTTGCCTATCAGTTTCATCTCAGAGCACAGTTCTGTTCTGATTTTATGGGCAAACCTTCACTGAAAGCACATGATGTGGAAAACCGTAAGCACTGATTTTATGAGCACAATTCTGTTATGATTTTATGGGCAAACCCTTCACTAAAATAAGCACAGTTTTGTTCTGATTTTATGATCTGTTAGAAAAATTAAAAGAATCTTACCTTACCTTACTGATTTTATGTTATGTTGGAGAACCTTAGGAAAATTGAAATGTTGTGTACGAAAAATCATCCAAGTTGCATGTGATTTGCATTAGATTATCATCTCCCTACATGCACTTACACTTTATTTCCTGTGTGGTTACTGGTTATGTTGTTTGAATTTTGGTTTCAAGCTACATGCTTCAATGGACATTGATTCAAACAATCCTTCATTGAATGGGACTGGGGAAGTTGAAGAAGCGGAGAACAATCCATCATTAAATGAGATTGGTGAAGGTGAACAACCTATGAAAGGAATGTGTTTTAGTTGAAGTGTATTCATTTTATACAAAATATGCAAAACACCTTGGATTTGCTGTAGCTTATAGGACACAAAATATTGGATAATATGGGGAAGTAAAATACTTTGGAATTGAATGTACTCGGGCACGCAAGAGAACAAAACGATCAGAAGTACACCCTCTCAAACCATCTTTGTCATCATTCATTGAATGTAAAGCGAAGGTTAGAGCGACTCTACAAAAAGATAGAAGATTTAAGTTAACCACCATTGTGCTTGAACATACACATGACTTGATTCCTAGTGACTCACGGCATTTTGAAATGAATAAGAGAATTCTTACTCCCGTGAAGAGAAGACTAGAAATAAACGATGAAGCAAGGATAGGGGTGGCTAGGAATTTTCATTCTATAGCTGTTGAAGCAGGGGGGTATGAGGCATTAACATTTGCTAAATGAGATGCAAGGAATCACATTAAGAGTATGAGAAGATTGAGGCTTGGGGTAGGAGATACCGAATCAGTTGCACTTTATTTTCATAGGATGTAACAACAAAATTCGAACTTCTATTCTGCAATTGACCTCGATGAAGATGGTCGCATGCGGAACTTGATTTGTGCAGATGTAAGGAGTAGGACAGCTTATAAAGCATTTGGGGATGTGGTTTCATTTGACACAACCTATCTCACAAACAAATATGATATGCCATTTGCTCTTTTTGTAGGAGTTAATCACCATGGGCAGTCAATTTTGCTTGGTTGTGAGCTGTTATCTAATGAGAACACTAAAACATTTGTGTGGCTATTCAAAGAATGGTTAAGTTGCATGTCAAACGCTCCTCCAAAAGCTATAATAACAGACTAGTGCAGAGCTATGCAAAATGCCATTGAAGTTGTCTTTCCATAATCTCGACAACGTTGGTGCTTATGGCATATAATGAAGAAAATTCCAGAGAAATTGAGAGGATATGCCCAATATGAATCGATAAATTTTGCTTTGCAAAATGCAGTTTATGATTCTTTTACAAAAGAAGAATTTGATGAAGAATGGCAAGCGATGATTGCAAAGTTCAATCTGGATGATAATGAACGGTTGGGGGTATTATACAGTGAGCGACATAGGTGGATTCCTGCCTATGTGAAGGACATTTTTTGGGCTGCCATGTCAACTACACAATGAAGTGAGAGTATGAATGCATTTTTTGATGGATATGTGAACTCAAAGACAACTTTAAAGCAATTTGTTGAACAATATGATAATGCTTTGAGAAGTAAGGTTAAGAAAGAGATGAAAGCAGACTTTAAATCTCGAAACAAATTATATGGTTGCCTAACAATATATGAGTTTGAGAAGCAATTTCGTGCAGCCTACACGAATGCAAAATTTAAAGAAGTCCAAGTAGAATTGAAGCGACTATTGTATTGTCGTGCAAATCTTGTAAAAGAAGAGGGATCAATTTGTACTTATCATGTCAAGAAGGCTATTCTTGTTGGTGAGAAAATGAAGACAGTGGAATTTGTTGCATACTTTAATGCTAGTGAATGTGAAATGCAATGTATGTGTCAGTGGTTTGAGTTTAGAGGCATTATGTGTGCCTATGCAATTACTGTGCTACTTGAGCGGTGCATATATCATGTTCCAGATAAATACATTGTATCAAGATGAAGAAAAGATATCGAAAGAGGCTACACATTGTAGACACCCCATTTTTGACCGTCCTCAAGACTTGGACATCACCGTTTGAGCACTCGGTGATCATCCATGTTTGTGTTCGTTTTGAGTTCCCGAAGGTCTCAGCTACGCGCCTTACCTCAGGATCTCTTAACTCGACTGTTTTGTGTTTGGTTTTGCACCAAACACTTGTGTTTTTCCTTGAGAGGGGCAGGGGATGGCTTATTGGCCATCCCCACACTCCACCGGCCATGGCTTGAGGCCACCGGCAGTGTTTTGTTGCCACCGTCCAAATGTTTGGCCGGCCGGCACTATAGATGGTCGACCGACCATCTATTTTGGTCAAATTGCATTTTTGGCTGGCCGACCACTGTTCATTTGCTTTTGCAGATATTTTTATGCCAGCTGTGCTAGCTGGCATACACTCTGCTCCCCTCCATACACGTGTATGGAGGGATTTCCCTCTTGTCTAGCTTGCTTTGGAAGCTTTACAAGAGGGATTGTCTATAAGAGGGAGCCTCTTCTCCCTCAATTAGGGTTAGAGAAAAAGCTGAGGGGAGCTCTGATATTAGGGTTTTGAGTTTGTATCTCTTCTATCTCTATATCTCTCTCTCTTGAGCTTAGTGCGTGAGTTTAGTCTCATTTTTGCACACAAACACCTAGTCCTACACCTTCCCTTGGTTGCTGAGGAGCCAAAAGGTTTTTCTTCGTGTTCTTGGGTGGTTTTGAGCTTGGAGAAGCAGCTGGACCACCATTTGTGAAGAAGGTCTTCAAGGGTAAGAATTTCACCCTTTATTCCCCATTTTTGCATAGCTTTTTTGTCTATCTTACAACTATTTTTAGGATTTGCATATAACATATAAAAGTTCTGTTTTTGCCTACTCTAAATAGTTGGTTATGGGTGTTTTGAGCTTTGAGGTTGTTTGACCCCTCTTAGGGCTTATTTGACCCCTTTTTTGTGCCATTTTGGTGAGCTCCGGGACCATTGTGTTTGGGCCTCCTCACCACTGAAATCTTGAGGGATTTCAGTGGTGAGAATGGTGCCTTGAGGTCCTAAGAAGGAGGGGGCCACCCCTTCTCCTTGTTGTCCTTGAAAAGGTCCATTTTTGCCTCTTGAGGGAGCATCTAGTTTAGGTTCATGTTGATCATGCCTTAACTGATTTTTGTGCTTATATTTCCATGATATAGCATTGTGTTAAGTTGGTTTAGACACACCTTGCATGCTTTGCATACATGTCTTGTAATGCCATGTTTTAGCCTTAATATGCTTTAGGTTTTTGACCCTTGTTCTAGCATGTTTTTTGCCAAGCTTTGTGAAGCTTTTGTGCTTGTTTCAGTATGCTGAAGTTCTATTCTTGGTTGCTTTGGTCGACCATGGCATGCTTAGTATAGTCTCTTTGCATCCTTGGCTTGTGAGGCCCAAGTGCATGGATCATGAGCATGCATTACTTGCATTATTTGCAGTGGTTTGGAACCACTTACCATGTTATTTCAGTCCTTATAACATGCCTATATGCTTGCATTTGATCCCCCTTCAATGCGTTAAAAGGTTGTTGCCTTATGCTCCATGAATGTGCCTCTTTGTATGCTTGCATATTCAGACCGCTTAGATGCCATCTAGGTGCATCCTTAGCTTTGTTTAGGTCTGCATTGGACCTGTTTTAAGTCCCCTTAGCCTTGTGAGGCTTGGTTGACTTAGCCTTGGTTTAAGCCACCTTGGCTTGCCTTAAGTACTTGGACCATTATTGCATGCTTTGCTTGTTTTGATTAGTTGGTTTGGCACCTCCCTTTCATGCAATTTCAGAGCTTATAATGCATGCCATATATCCATGTTTAGCCTCTTTTAAGTGTGCTTAGAAGTTGCTCTTTGTGCCTAAGTGATGGACCATGTTTTCATGCATGCTTATATGTGCATTTGGCCTCATTTCCTTAGTTATTGGCCACTGTTTTGGGCTTAGTATAGAGCTGCCCAACTAGTGTAAGTCCCTCCTCTACATGACCGTTGCATGCTCACCTTGTATGTTGTTGCATATTTGTGTGTTGTTGCATGATTGAAGTCGCATAATTGAATGAAGTCACATGCTCGCTTGCATACTTGAACACCCACATTGTGTCCTGTATACTTGTTGGTTGCATTTCTCCATGCCTTGCATGCCTTGCATGATTGTTGTATGCCTTGTATGCTTCTTTGCATTTCCATGATTGCATGCTAGCTCACATGCCTAGGTTGCATCACATTGGCACGCATGCTTAACCTCTTGAATTGATTGTGATAGAGGTTGAGCCCCATTTTTTGTTTATGTGCATTTCACTCCACATTGAAGATGCACAACTTGGTTCCTTGGGCCATCACGCATTGAAATACACGATTGGTGGTCCGAGAATCGAGATCCAACCAACTTTGAGTCATGAACATGATAAGGAGTGTGGTTGGTGCATACATTGGTTGAAATACATTGCCATGCTATGCTTTGCCCTCTACTGCTGTCAAAAACAGATTATGCAGAAAGCTTTGGCTGGCCGGCCATCTCCAGTGCCGACCGTTCATCCATAAATGGCCGATAGCTTAATCAGTGGCCAGTGACCATTCCCCTTGGCCGGTGGCCATTCCCCTCAGCCGGTGGTGTTCCACAGCACTCAGAGAAGCAACCCTGGGACTTGTGCAGTCTTCAGAGGAGGATAACAGTCAAAGCAGAGGCAACTTGTGCATGGCAGTGGCTCCAAGCGGAGTTGAACACGCATTGCATTGGGCCCTCTTCCCGAGGTTGTTTACTGCTTTCTTAGATTAGTTAGTAGGTTAATTAATTATATTATTCTTTTGGTCCCTCCGAGTGAGGGCGAATTTGTAATAAGTGTGGGTGCGTGTGTGCATGTCTTCCAACCCCTACTTCTTTCTCCCTTTTGCTTACTTGCTTTTGATGGTTAGTATTAGGTCATAGTTAAATTAGCATACCTTATGCTATGCATGCGTGCATCCATACATTTATCTTGCATGCACGGGGCTCGGCGCATCATACTAACTGCATTGTATTTCAATTCCAAGTTGAATACGTGTTAGTTGTAGCATTTCATATGTCATATTTAGATTAGCCGAGCCTATTCTAGTGACATTCTGTATGTGATGCATTAGCCATTTTAACATGAGCTAGGATCACGCATGATTACTAACTAGTTTATTGTTTTAGCTTGGAGTACTCGGTAAGTTCTCATGCCTTAGCATCCTTGCATGTGTGTGAGTGTTGCCATGACAGCATACTTACCATGAGGCTAGTTGCTTATGTGATATAACTGCTTGAGTGCTCGTGGATGGAGGTTGAATTACCTAAATTGGAATAATGCACTAAAACTGTGAGTTTTAAGCCCACTAGATAGTGGCAAAACCATCTTTTCTAAAGCCCACTTGAAGGTGGCAAAATCTGTATTTTAGCCTACTTGCGAGTAGCAAACCATTTTCAGAACAAACATGAAATGTTTTGTTCCAATTTAGGCAATTTGGTCTATACTTGTTTGCTGTGTGCATAACATAGTAATTCTAGGCTAATAACCTGAATAAGAGCATATAACATTTTCAAAACAAGATATCATGGTTAGTAGAGACCGATCTTCGGATTGGGCGAGAGGGGGTGCTCATAGCTGACCTTCCCCAATCGTACCCAAGTTCCCGAGACGAGGCAACTTTGGTGATGACGGACACGTGGCCTTAGGCAAACGAGTCAGGGTTTCCTAAATTCCCCCAAAATAAAATATTTAGGTGGCGACTCTGTATCTGGCAAAGCAGTTCATGTTTGGCACTTCTTTTTCTAAAAATCTATTTTCTCAAAAATGATTTGCCGGATTTGGACTCTTTGGTTCAGATTAAGAACCGTGACACAAATCGAGTCCGAACTGTAGCACCGAGGCCCTCACACGGGCGCGTCTACAGTTTCTGGCGACTCTGCTGGGGAGTTAGAGAACTTAACTCCAACTCATGATATCTTGTTTTGACGACACTTATGTGTTTCTTTGCATTGCATGTGCATTGGTGCGCCTAGGACACCGTGTTTGCCATCTGCTATTCCTGAACGGTTTGCTGGAGGCTTGCTTTGTCAAAGTATGCCATAAGGTTCACCGATTACGGGCTCTGCCAGTATGGGAGCACAAACCCCGGTTTCACCGGGGCACCCTTTTGGCCATTCGACCTAGTGCATATTCGGAATCCATAGTGACCATTCCAAACTAGGACAGGTTGATTACCCGATTGTTAGGTTGTTTGAAACCGCTGCGTGTGTAGTGAAACCCTAGCTCCTGACAAAATAGGACAGGAAAACCCTACCCCCAACATAGGGGTGTTTTGGTTCTCAGTTACTTGCTATGTGTTTTTAGAGCGTATCTCTACAGGAATGCACGTATCAGTTCGCAAGTTCAAATACCAGGCCTAAGGGCATCAGTATCAATGTTTTGGGGAATCTGTTATATCTGCGGGTATCAGACTTAGTTTCGGGGTAGTGATTTTGTGGAACAGTGATCAGTAGTAGTGTACAGTTATTCAGCTATACTAGTGTCTGTTCTGATTGGTCCGAAATGCTGCGTGTTTTCTCTTTCAGTTCAGAGATTTAGTACAGAATAGCCAGTGTTCTCCTTCGCTGAGGCAAGGCAAATATCTGATCCGTCAGTCACCGTTCAGTTCAGCGGACTTATGATGACCCAAAGTTCAGAGGAAATTGTGGTTATGGCAGCCGCATTAGACCAAGGGATCATCTTGTAGGATGAGACCAATGTTGATGTACCGCACCCGCCTAGGTCGCCTGCTGCACACCCGGTCTGGACCCCCTAGTTGTATCAGGCTCGTGAGCCCACCACGTTTGAGTTAATGGGAATGATCGGCGACCTCCAGAGATCCGTGGCCGATCTGGCCTATGGAATGTCGGCTTCGCCACCAGCCACATCATATGCCGGGAATTTCATACCACATGAGCCCCCGCTACTGGGGCGGATTGTGATCGAGCTCAACCAAC